AAGTATTCATTCACTTCCTTATTTTGTATAAGCGTTATATTCCCTATTATCTTATATTGAATGTTGAGAGCGTTTGTTTGTCTGAACAGATAATTCCATGCTCCACTGTGACTGCGCTAAGATCAAAATAAAGACCTATTCACTACTTGTCTGGTTTCTTCTATCAATAGCACGAGGGTTACTTTAAGGCACGAAAGATTCACATACCGTAGAGCTGCCTGTGATTTGTTTCTTCGCACTGTACTTTCTTTTTCATTATGACAATGTCTGTCCAGCTATGTTTAGCAGCTTAAAGATGCCACAGGCATTTGGAGGTTGACAACGCTCTAAACACTAAAACTTACTATGAATCGTACTAACCAAGGGAAATCAAACGATAGAAGCGAGTAGGTTTTAAGATATATTTGACAGACTATCAATATATCGAGGACTAACTGATCTAGACTGACTAGCGATTGAAGGGGACGTTGAGCACGGCGTTCTCATTCGTAATCTGGTGCGGATGCATGACCAAGCTCCTTCAGCTAGGTGAGTCTGTAGAATTATGGTCTACTATGATATTAGTACCGCTGTAATAATAGACTTAGTATTAAAAATGTAGATTTGTCATGATGTAACTGCCTAATCTATAAGATCTGACGTAGACGTCATATTATTATCTACACCATCTCTTCTTGTCGTAACAACCACCAATATATGATGAAGAACATACTTGGGCTAGTGATAGAACAATATATTTAATATGAACAAAATGCATATGTTAACACTCAGTAATGATCACGCCAGCAAGGCCGAGCCATGCCATCCGATGAATTCGAACTAACTCACTTCCTTTTTCTGTCTTCTCCATCTTATGGTTTTTCTCTGCTTTAAATGTTAAATATCTATTTTCCCAGTTATCTCATGTCCAGATTTTAGGATTGTGTGGTTAGGTCCTAAGACCGCTACTAGTTCAATAAAACTAGTGTGGTCAGCATCCAATGTCAAAGACATACAGAGCTATTTATTTTGGGGATTTATTTACAAGATCAATCGCCCCGAAAATCAGCAGATACTTTGTCGAACAGCATGCTTTTTATAGGCAACATTTTAGTGGCTTTCTGCACCCATTATATACAGCCGATGTGAGTCCGGTGGACACATTGTGATACCATTTATTGTAGTTGTCACATTTCATTCCATCATCGATCGAAAAATAGCATTCAGGTCTGACACAGAGATGTTTTGCTTGCGATCATGTGTAGGGAACAATAACGAAAACTGATCTATAGAATTCGTGTCTTTTAAGGCTTTACAGGTGATGGACACTAAATACACAAAAAACAGAGGTTTGTATATTACTGTAAATAACAACAATCCGACTTCACTAGTTACAAGAAGACCTTGGCATGTTTGGATACAAACGATACCGAGATATACTCGATGAGGAGAAAAAAATACCACTTCCCTTCTTTGTATCTGTACTCAAAAAGTATATATGATAATTTACCATACTTTTGGAGATTAATTTAACCGAGATAACTTCAAACAAAACAAAAACAGTAGTCTCGATGACGAATTAAACGAGCAATACCATAAAATATATTCAGAAGAAAAATACCACTTTCCCTTTCGAATAGCACGCTCATAGTGTGCATATTTCTCTTACTCTTATTTACATGTAGTATTGAACTGTTCATTTAATCATTCAAATGATTACTGTCAAGTTTACTACACTACTTTAGAACAACTCAAGAAGGACGGTGATCTTAGACCCCGTCTAATGAAGATAACCTTCCCATCTTCCCACATGGCGGCTGCAGTTCTGGAAGCATTTCGTGCTAATAGACGTCGATTGCCACCTGGAATCCACATGCACCCGGATAGGCCATACGAAGTCAGGACCAAGAACAAAGGCAAGCTGGAGCTGACCATTCCACTTGTGGACTGTCTAAACGATAAAAAAAACGTGTAAAGGACAGGGCCTACCACCTCGGCAAACCTCATATAGGTGGGCTACCTGTCCATTCACATAAGGTTCATACAGAAAAACAGGACGAAGCTCATGCGTTCCAAATTGAAAGCATAAACTGCTTATATATGAACGCCGCGAGTTTACCAAACAAACTGGATGAACTACGTGAACTTAGCAACGCTAACAAGGCCCATCTGATAGGAATATCTGAAACCTGGATATCTTCTCAGTTCTCGGATCAAGAGTTAGCATTGCCTGGGATGACTTTGTTCCGCAACGACAGAAAAATAGGAATTGGGGGCGGAGTAGCCATATACATAAGCTCTTGCTTGGAGGTGCACCAGGTTCACAACCTCGAGTTTAACAATCTTGAGGAATCCATATGGTGCTCTGTAAGGCTGTCTAGTACTTCCAGGTGTCTAGTCGGAGTCATTTACAGGAAGCCAACTGCCGACACCGAGTACGATAGTCGTATGCTGGAAGGACTATCCCGCTCTATCCGTCTCGGTTTCACACACATCCTGATTCTAGGGGACTTTAATCTCCCTAGAGTCAACTTCGCGGAACACACGTACACTGGAGGCGACAACTCAACTGAAGCTCGGTTCTTCAACCTCATCGATAACTTGGGCTTATATGAAAATGTGAGGTCGGCAACTCGTTGGAGAAACAGTCAGACACCATCGCGCTTAGACTGTGTATTCACTAACGAAGAATTCCTAGTCGACAACCTCTCAATCCTGGCTCCTCTGGGAAAAAGCGATCATGCCGTCATAGCCTTCAGTTTTGTTATCAAAACTAAGCTAAGGTATCCCAACAATAATTTGCGATGGAATTTTAAACGGCTGAATGTGCGAGCTCTACATGACCATCTACAACAGGTGGCTTGGGATGTTCACCCTCAAATCGATGTGGATGGTCATTGGGACCTCTTGCTGCACACGCTCTTATGTGCTACAGATCATTCAGTTCCTCAAACGGTTCCCAAAAGCTTCAAGCCACCTACAGTAATCAAGAACCGTACCCTTCGCCTCCTAAGCCGCAAACGGCACTGTTGGGCGGAATACAAACGAACTAATAACGATGGAGAGTATAGGCAATACAAACATATCAGGAACACATGCACGAAGGCTATAAGAGAAGACAGGCTTCAGTACCAAACAAAGCTTATGGACAAATTCGCCTCTAACCCTAGAAGCCTATTCCGTTATGCAGCCTCTCTTCGTCAAGCCAAAACAGGAGTTTCTCAACTGCTAGGTCCTAACGGCCCGACCAACAACGATGGCGACGCCGCTAACCTTCTGGCGGCCCATTACTCTCAAACATTTCAACCAGCTGATATCAACTTTATTGACGACAGTTTCATCTGCAATTCCACAGGACTTTCTGAAGTGGACCTAAGCGCTGACTTGGTGTTCCGGAAACTGCAGCACTTAAGACTTGACACTTCTCCTGGCCCGGATATGGTTCATCCTGCCATACTGAGGGAGGCAGCCTCAATCCTGGCAACGCCGCTTAGCGTGATGTTTTCACACTCGCTTAGCCGAGGCAAATTACCGGAAAATTGGAAGTTGGCTCACATCACACCAATTTTCAAAGGTGGTCGACGCAATGAACCTTCAAGTTACCGGCCGGTGGCTCTTCTGTCGTTACCTTCAAAACTCATGGAGTCCCTAATATGCGACGGTTTAAATGACTACCTACTGTCCTTAAATTTCTTCTCACCCCAACAGCATGGTTTCAGGAAGGGTTACTCTTGTATAACTAACCTGCTGACTGCGGTGGACAGATGGACAAGCATCCTCGATTGCAAGGGAAAGGTTGATGTCATTTACCTTGATTTCTCAAAAGCTTTTGATAAGGTTAACCACTTGTGTCTTATCAACAAGCTCAAACGACTAGGTATCAAACCACCTCTAATCGACTGGCTCACTTCATACCTAAAAAATCGACACTTTAAGGTTAGGGTTAATTTCACTTTATCTCAAGCTATGGAATGTCCTAGTGGGGTCCCCCAGGGCTCAGTACTAGGGCCTCTTCTCTTCTTGATCTACATAAATGATCTTCCTCAACAGGTAACGTCAGACTTATTACTTTTTGCCGACGACGTGAAACTTTGGAGAGAGATACGCAACCAAGACGATATACAGGCACTTCAAGAGGATCTGACTCGACTTCAAAGTTGGGCAGACGATAACGGACTTACCTTTAACACTTCAAAGTGTAAAGTAGTCCATCTGCGACATGTCGCAAACTACAGTTACAACTTAGGAAACTCCTCTCTAGTAGTATCCCAAGTCGAAAAAGATTTAGGAGTCCTGGTGCCCCATGACTTAAAGTCTTACGCTAACTGTGACAAAAATGCCTTCCGAGCAAACCTTGCACTGGTAACGTTGAGGCGCATTTTTGGTCAGTTTGACGGAAGAACTTTCCACACAATCTTCAATAGTTTCATCCGTCCCCATTTAGAGTACGGAAACATAGTACTCCCCCCCTCACTCCAAAAGGATAAGGTCACTTTGGAGCGTATCCAACGGCGAGCCACGAAATCAGTTCGAGGACTCAAATCTAAGCCTTACGAAGAACGCCTCCGTTCACTAGACCTTTACCCACTAGAATATAGGCGTCTTAGAGGTGATTTATTAATGGCTTATAGTATTCTTAACACTTCTGGACATCCTCTTAAACACCTACTTAAGCTTAGTTCGAACAATAACCTAAGGGGTAACACCCAGAAACTGGAAACACAACATAGCAAGACGGAATGTAGACACAGCTTCTACTCCTTAAGAGTTGTCAAAAGCTGGAACTCGCTGCCGGCCGAGCTAGTCCAAGCGACTTCTCAGGAGTCGTTCAAGAGGCAACTTGACCTATTCTTAAGGACTAAGGACAGCATCGCACTATGATTTACCAATTTCTTTTCCTCTTTTATTGCTAACATACCTAGGTTCCTGCCTGGAGGATTTGGTGATCCCCTGCTACTAGACACGGAAGCCTGTTAAGCGAAAGCTTCTTCTATTCCGTCCACAACCATTTGAACCATTTGAACTATAGTTGAGTTTCGAACGGCGGTCAATTCAAACCCAGACAATGGTGGAATTTTAAAGGTATGAGGCCACAGATAAACCACAAATCCAATGTTTTGGATATCAAATCGGAACTTTTTGACCTCTTACGACAACGAAAAAGCCTGACAGTAAGTGAAATTTCTATCACGAACATAAAATGGAATATTAGGAGACACTAGAGGCATTAGAACGTCAAATATATCTGTTTGAAGGCAGCTATCTTGATGACACGGCTCCTTATGGGAACATTATCAAGGGCTGGGATAGATATCTGATGGCCAGCTCAAACTCTTTGGTCACTGGTAACTCCAACTTGTCATTTTCCAGGACCGTTGGGGATAAACGCGCTCGGAAATTCCGAGATTCCGATCGTCTTTTCTCAAGGTCTTCAGTCACTTCAGTTTCAGTAAGACTAATTCCTAACGAGATTTTGTTCTAGTCTTTAAATTCACAGAATGAAAATAATTCAGGCAAGTGTGCTTGGTGTTTATACGTCAAATTCTAACATGTCGAAATGTGATGTGTCTTTGTAAGCTGTAATGCATTGAAACTGTATAATAGGGTCAACATTTTTTTGTTTATAAATGACTGTTTTTCAACTTTTTTCGGTATTTGCATTTTTTTGCAGTTAGGTTAGCTAAAATGTGTCTAGTTTCTCTTACCTACACAGGGACTTCTAAAACAGTATTCAAGAGTTCATGTCATACTTCAACAAAGATTCAGAGAAATCGTTCCATGCCTATGAGAAATTCCTTTGGGATCGCCTTTATGTCAAATAATTAGACATCAGCTGATACGTTCTTTCTGTTGAAACGCGACTATTGACCGTATTGTTATTTTTCACCTTGGTTTCCAACAGTCTGTTGGTCAGTAACGGTGCTTAAGTTGCCGTAATTAGCTTCTTAATAAGTTTTAAGCTCTTTACGTCTTGAACAAATATTTTGGGTTCAATGCTCCCCCGTATTATTTCCTCTCTAATCATTCTCATTGTTTAGTACTTCCACCGTCATTGGTTCCATAATTATTCCAAATCCTTTACTATTTATTACTTGATCCAGATATTCAGGTGTTATGTTTTTGGAACTTGTGGGCTCTTTTTCTATTCAATATGGTCTGTTATTTAGCTTTTCTCATTAACTCTACTATCGCACTATACAACACATTGTATAAACAGATTTAGTGTGTTCAAAAATTTTGTCACATCTCAGTCAATAATAATGTGCTTAGAGGGCTAGTTTACATTGTGATTTATCCATAATCTTTTTCGCGATTTACTTATGAAGTATTAGTGCATGCGTACCTACACTTAGTATTCAAGTCCCTTTCCATTGTTGACTAACCTTGTATCAAGGTTAATATAATTACTGTGAAGATAGCATAAATAGAAGTTTCTCTGCTTCACTTTGAATGCTACAGTAATTAATAAGTAACACTACGTTCTGTTCATTTTGCAAGTTTCTCAAAGTAAATGTTGAGCAGTTAAATCTTATTAATACTACTTTAGTTTACTTCTCAAGTATCCAAATGATTTTGCATTCTAAATTTCCTAGGAGTTCCTCCCAATCTACCTCCAGTCAACCAGCTTATTTCAGGACACTACAAACAACCTTCTCCTAATTTCATGTCCAATGGGTTTTCAGGAAATCAGTTCTCCCAAATTGGCAAGAGTTTTTCGGGTTTCAGTAACGCATCACAATCTGGTAAAAAGAAAAAATCTAGACAGCGATAGACTCTACTGAAATGACTCATAAATTGGTTTCAGAAATCTATGATATGGACAGATGAATAACAGTATTGTAAAACTATATGGACTCCTCATCTTTTTTGAGTACAGTCACACTCAAAAATTACAATATTACTAGTATTCTGTTGTTTGATTACATTATGTAAAAGTATCTCATCAACATTGATATCTTTCTAACCTTTATAGTCAACTAATATACGTCGAACCACTATGGATTTTTTAAAGAACAGCCTTGGGATTAACTATAGTCGGGTGCGTATCACATTCTGTCATAGACACCGTTTTTTCACTGTCTACACCAGTAAGGCAAGTCAAACTTGGACAAAGATGGACGCCTAAACTCTTGTTTTGGTTAATAAGTAAAGTTATGTCGTTCTCCAGGTTGTGATAATTTCCAACTGCTTAACCTTTCTCATACTTGTTCACAATGGCTTTACAGTGGTGTGGTAACTCGAACTGATATACGTACGTACCAAGTTCTACGTTGTTACTGACAGCGGGTTAGAGTCTTTATTTTTCTATTAAGAATTCAGACATGCTCCATGCAAAACGAATTGCATATGAGGTAGCTGCTTGTAAAGATAATTTTGTGCATACTTGCGATATGCATTAACACAGAACTCATGTTCCAGACGATATTTGACTCGAAATAGACTAGACATTATTAAAATTTTCGACTTGGGTCACTTATGTTTAACCTTGGGTTTTCAATAGTATTATACATGTTACAAATGTAGACATTCTGTTCAGGGTATTTAGACTTACATAACAGGCACGAGGACCATTCAAAATGGAAGTCTTTTGTTAAGAGAATAGTCGAACAGTCAAATGCAACATGGTACACATATACATCAGTTCAAGCTTTCACAACCGAGATAAAAAAATTTTAGCGACACGCAGAGTGGAGGTAGCGATAGTATTAGTGGTGATAAAAAAGACTAGGTTTCGAAAGCTCGACTCAAGGAAACAACTAGTGAAAGAAAAAGGATTATGAAAAATTTAGGAACTAGAGGAAGATAGAGTGGAGACACTCGTGTCACTGCAAATTACTTTTCACGATTGATCATTATAATGACGCGGACCCTAAGCACCTGTAGGCCGATTGTCACTGACCTCAAGCTGGTGCCACGCTTTGGTTCGGGCGTCCCTAGCTCTCTTCCAACCTAGAGAGGAGTAAACACAAGAAATCTAAAAGGAAGAATCCAGTTTGTCAAGCTTATTTGAAATATCCTAGAATAAAGGTTAAAACTGATTACCGGCTTGAAAAATAATAAGCAACCGTATGACCTAATTTACCCTTATCTTTGGTGACTTTAAAATTGAGGTAATATAAACGTCGAAGCATTAAGTAAATGTTCGTAGGTAAACAAAAAGATGTATCTCACTAAGGCAAGTCGGTGTGTTCCGAAGCTTTCTATATAGAGGGTTTACAAAAACAATGGCAGCCTCAGTTCACACAAGAAGTAAAATGAGTTACGAGGTGAATTTGTTCCATCAACATAATAAATACTTGTCTAGTTTTCGGATCAGAAGATGACCACTTCGTAAATGAATGAAATGTTGTTCAATCAGTTTGCATTTAGTTAGGATGGGAGATTCATGGTGATCATACAACTGTCAGCCAACTCGAGGTTTAAATACATTTCAGACGACAGGGATCAATAGACAAGATTTTCTAGGTACTCTTGATTGCTGTCCAGGTTTAGCGGCTAGATTGTTTGAGACATTAGCTTTGGAAACTGAATTGATGCCACCATAATGATGGCCACCGATTTTTCCAGTTTACAAGGATGAAATCCTCTTGTAATGAGCATAGAGCAATGTACCTGTCTAACAGTTTTTCAGGTTTCCACATAGTTACGTCACAATGTCTTACGGTGTTTTTCACCATGTATTTACTGGTTTATGCCAGTAGAAGTAACTGTCATAAAAAACGTACAACTAAATGAAGGCGAGAATGAATAACTACAGATAAGGGTATGAGGTTAACAGTTGGTTTACTAGGTCCGACTGCCATTGTCGTTGCATTTTATCAGATAATTCCGAGATGGTAAGAAGTCGAAAAATCTAAGTCCGTATGAAACCACAGCGGAACACACGATCAGCACAATAGAGGCGCGAACGAAACTACTACGATTGTTGGTTACAGACACAACCAAACAGATGGTCGACCACATGGCAATCAAGAGCCAAAAACTTCGGGTCTCCAGTCTTGATTTTCTGCCTTTATTCATTTGCCTATCAGTGAAACAAGTTTTTTAAGTATGTCCATGTAAATAACCCTTTCAAGATTGAGAGTCTTAACTTTCACTGTCATCCTCTTCTCACTAGTATCTACCACCAATCAGAACAATGGTACTGAGAAATGAAGGCATCTTACATATTAAATTCTACAGCTTACGGTCTATAAATTGGAGAAATGGTATACTGATGTAGATTGTGCGTTTTCTCGAACCGTTATAAGGACCCAGTTAGGTTTTTCTAGTCCCACAAAGTCTTAAGCTAGGGGCTAGGTATCAGGCCGCTTTTTGATTAGCTCTTCCATAAAATCTAATGCCACAAGGTTAGGGTTTGTTTCAGGATTAAGTGAGGGTTTAAAGAAATTGTCGAATTGATCATTGCATGCAACGCATATGAGGTGTTAATCATAACCAGTTTGCTCTGTTGTGGTAAGAAGTGGCTTTTTTTAACCATTCTAAACGTTTAGAGTATACTAAGGTATTTCTAATGCTGATTGTATATGGCATTCTGTTTTTGCGCAAAAGCCTGAAAATCGCGTTCTTGGTCCCGATTAGTTGGTTTCAATATTATGCTTTTACCAAGAATCCTATTTTTACAGTTCACTTTTAATATTGACACATCGACATGTTCAAGGCAATCGTAACTAAAAACTGACGCTTAGTTGCCTAAGTTAGTAGTTTACGGTAATCTACCTTATGGTCTGTAGTAGTTACGGGAAAATCAGAATAGTACGCACATTCAGTTCATTGATGAAGATATTGAACGACGATTATCAAATAAATATCAAGAACTGTTATTTAAGAAAAAAAAAGTTTGAAGAGACGCATAAAAAACTCGGTACACATTACTGACAATATGTAGTTGGTTAATTTTCTTTTATTTTAAGAAAAGAACACAAGACCAAGAAAGAGAACAATACCGACATAAAACTATTGGAAAAAATCATCCATAATAGATGAGAATGTGAATAATGAACAAAAGAAGGGAAAAATAGTTATGAAAAATAGTAATAGACTGACCCTATATGAATAGAAATGAGTTCTGAGTAATGTTCTTGATATATAGTGTATGTATGTGTAGTCTTATATTTCAATCAATCTCCCATCTTCAAATTATTTACCTTCCATGAAAATTCTAACCGTCTAATTACTATTACATGTAAGGAGAAATGTAAAAAAAAACAGCTTTACAAGATGATAAACAATACAGATACGAATTGGTTCAAGGTAAGAGTAGAGGGGAATAGTGTGCATATTACGCACATACTGACAAAACTAGTTTATGGTAGAAATATGGAAAATTAAACTGTATCCTGTGTAAATAAATGTGTATTTTTTTTTAAAATGAAAAAATGAGCATATTTCATACATATATGTATATATAAAACCAGTTGATTTCAATTGAATAGAAATAAGAATTTCAACAAAGTTAATGAATAAATCTAAGCACAGTACAGAAACAAAGATAGATAGAAGAAAGAAGAAAAGATAGATGGATAGATAGAACAAAAAAACCAACATGATTGCTTACATTATTCTGCAATATCAGCATTCATATGCACATATAATTCCACATCATAATGATATCACATCACAGTAAAAAGCCAGGCAGCTGCCGGTATTATTTGTTTTTTTGGGATAAAGACAAAGAGAAGAGAAGATAAACAAAAAAGGAAGGACATAAATGTTGAACACACGATACAATCATAAGATTATATCTTATGTGTTGATCATAATATGCGAATTAAGCCATTCCATAACCCTCACTACATTCACGTATAGCCATCAAAAGTCTTGATCGTAGCTGCTCGTAGCTTTCATATGCTGGCAATACAAGTGTGTTAAAACTGTAAAAGGTTAAGAAAATATACAACAGATGAGCGCATATATATATATATATTAAGGAGAAATACATAAGTTTCTAAAACAATTCATAATATAGGGCTGAGTAAATTATAATTACTTGTTCTTCATTAGAAATTCTTAACAACTTGAGTATAACTCTGCTTTGGCACTGAAACACAGATAAGTTGTTTTCACTAGAGGGATTATCCTCTAGGGATTCCGATCTATAAATTCAATCCACAAGCAAATGGGGAATCGTTGAAGATGGTAGTTTGTAACAAGAGTAGGATTGTATGTCATTCGATCACTTAGAAACTTTGAGTTCATGCGAACCATTAGTTTGAAATCAAGGCTTCCCGGTTTCCTTAATTGAGATCTACGTATTCGACAGATATGTTCAAGTATCAGGTGAATGCTTTTATCGTCTTACTTTTAGACAGTGAAGATTGTAAACGTACGACTGTGTAAGTGCATTTCGCTGAAGTAGATGAATTCTCTCAGGCTATACCGTGTAATTCAAACAAAGTACTGAACAATAAGTATATTCAATCAGTTATCTATCTTGTTAATTCGATAGGCAGAGATGAAACATATTTAGTCATGTTGTGATTGCATGAACATTAATCTTTTGTCTCATATGAGTCTAGAAACTTTCAACCAGCATTCAGCAACGACGTTCTAAAAAACTTTCAAAAAATAGTATTACTATATAAACAATTTTCGTAATGTGCTTCGTAACTAATAAATATATGAAGCAGTGATTTACTGTTTAAATCTCTATCACTTTGTTTCCATTTCCAAGTTCAGTATGAAGAGCTGAGTGGTATTACGACCCATTCAAAAATGTGTTATGATTGTTGAGTTACATTAACGCATGTTGTTAACTGTAAAGTTAAACTTATCTTCTTGTTAATAACTGTTTGTCAAGTTGAAAAGGTCAGCTATAAACTGAAAGGATATAACTGTGTGAATGGCTAAAATAAGTTGGAATGAATCAACTCTAACCATATGCTATTATCATGTAAAGATTTCGCTGAATAGTTGTTAAAGTCTAAATAATAACCAACAGAACAAATATCTTTTGAAAAGACTACATTCATCAATTTTTATGACAGAAACCACAAA